TGGTGATACGAGACTTTCTAAGTTGGAACGTAAGAGAGGATCGGATATTAATTCGCGACCTTCAGATACATCACTTTCATCAGTTTCCTCTTTCGCATCAGTTTGTTCAATATCATCACCTAGATTCGATGTTGAAAAATAATATTAATTTATTACAAATAAATAAATAAATAAATATATATTACAAATTGGAATTATGTCATTACTTTGAGGATTTTTAATTGGAGTTATGTGATAATCGGAAACCATAGGTTGGACTGGAGTTTTTTGAGGTTCGGGAACCATAGGCTGAGTTACTTGTTTTTGAGGATCAAGTATCGCAGCCGGAGCCTTAAGATTTAGATTTTTCTCATTTTCTTGTGTTGGAACACTAAGGGCCAACGAAGTAAAAATGGAAATTAAAAATAAGTTTTTAAGAATTCGCACCATTTTGTTTTTTTTTAAAAACTTTTTTGGATCAAAAGATTATGCAAAGTTTCAAAGAATTTATTTTCTTCAAAACGAATGAATAATTTTTGTTGCGATAGATCTCAAATTTATACCTTTTGGCAAAAAGAGTTAATCTCAATAATGAATTGTATTAACTCTGTTTTTTTTTTTACTTTCTTTTCGATGTTGCCAAGAGGTGAAAAGCTTGATTCATTCGTCGAACAATAAGTTTACACGATAACTCTGGTAAAAATTCGTAATCGCATTGATATATGATTTGATGTATAGCCTGTTGCGATAGTGCGAAGTTAAATTATAATTGTCTGCACATAGCGATGATGTCAAGTCCATCACTTGATATTACATAACCTTTTTCTTGAGTGTATTCTAAAATTAGAGCATATACGTATATACTGTAAAATGATAAGATTGTTTTGTCATAACGATAATTACTAAATACAGCATTTTATGCTTCGTGATTTTTAATATATCAGCCTTACACGTATTAACGAATATAGAATGTTTCTTGTAAATAGAAATTTATTATTAGAATCTTAGTTTAAAATAAAATATATGGTATGAATGTGATGAAAAATTACAGAATATAAAAAACGAAATTATGCAATCATATAATGATCCATATAATTATTCACATTATAAAAGTAGTTTTATTCCATC